TGAAGTGTCAGAACATGTATTTGTAATATGAAATGTAGATTTGTGTATTCAATTGTGTTCTTTGGCTTTGTGTTTAAATGAGTTGTTATAATTCTGTTGTCTTGTTGATTCAGAGTTTCCTAATGTACTGTTTGTACATATTTATTTTTTAATCCTATTTTCATATGAGAGAGGCTGTTATGACTTGGGTGTGACACCCAGAATGTCAAGAAGTTAAAGTTTATCAAAAACAATGACAATAAACATTAAGACTTAAAACAGTTACAAACTGATGTGTCTATTTAGGTAATTTTCTTTCATGGATTTCTTTTAAAAAAAAACATCATGAAATGAATAAAACAGCCCACCACCTTTAATAGTTCAAGTGTGTGTTTTGTTACAGAAGAATAGAGCATATTTATTAAGTGTTATTAAGAGAGAATGAGCATTCTTGTGGTACAACCACCTTATAATGTCCATACTGAGCAAAGCACATTAAGATCATAATTGATGACAACAACTTCCTCAGTTAGTGTCAATAAGCAGGAATTAGCAGGTTATTGAGGGGAAACTCTTCATGGCCTAGTAGTTGTAGAATGAGCTCATTCAGAATAAGGCATTCATACTTTATAATGACTAACAAAGAGGCTACTACTAATATGCATTGCATAACAAGTTTTATATTAGGGGGCAGAGAGTTTCCCATCATGCACTCGTATTCTCTTTGTAATTTTATATGTATTTTATATTGTTTTTACCTGTAAGGTGACCAAAAAATGTATTATTATTTATTATTATTACTGTGGTCAGTGGAGAGACGCTGCTTCTGAAAACTGCAGCCGCCTTCAGTTGATGATTTTAATATGAAGCCTCAGAGAAATTGAATGAGATTTGAAGTGAAAGTGGAAACTGGAAAAGAGTATAACATGTTTTATAAGACAATTTAATAATGGACTGTTGTTCACCTTTACGCTGTCCTTTATTTTGATAGGACGCCTCATCAAACTCTATCACTTATTAGACAGATCTGAGATCTGCACTGTGTGCACTTTATTGAAAATATTCACAGCTTCTGGGTGTCTGATATTAAAAGATTTACACACAGAAGATTCATTAACAACTTCTGCTCATATAAATAGAGATTTATTTACAATATGTACACATTATAAAGAGCACAAAGTCAGTGCATTGTAACAATATCCATCAGGAGGATTAAGATATAATAATGAACAATTCTCTTCTCATTCTGTTGTCTTGTTGATTCAGACTCATTGTTTAAGACTGATGATTGATAACAGCTGGAGGGAGAACAGAGCGATCAATGAGTGAACCAACTTACAGCTCAATGTGAATGATTCCTGAATGAATGAGTGAATGAGAAACTCTTCATACACTGACAACTCAAACAACTGGGACATTTTACAACCTGAAGAAATATTTAGGATATTTATGAAAAGGCTTTTGACTCAGGTCACATGATAGCAGCATGTCCCCATGAAGCTCTCATTCTGCTGAAAATAGCTGACAGTCAGATAAAGCTAGTGGCGGTAGCTGGGGTCCTCAACGGCAGAAGTAACAAAAGACAGCCAGTAGAACTGCTGCTGCTGCTGCTGCTGCTGCCAGTCCCAGTACAACATAGAGGACGATCATTCCCGGACTCTCTGGTTGTGGACTCTCTGTTGGTCTCTGAGGTTTGGGCTCATCAGCTGCTGTAAAGGACATTATATAAAATGTGGATAATTGTCTGAAGGTTGAAATATTTTACTGAGACAGAAAAGCAGATTGAGAAAAGAAAGACTGAATATAATCATATTCTGCATCTGTTTGTCATGGTAACAATCAATCAATCAATTAAAATCAGTGTTATTATTTATTACTTGAATGAAGTTACGATGTCCATTTCAGTGAAAACATTAATGATCTGCAACTTTTAGGGTACAAACAGCAAACATTATCTAGTTACAGCTTCTCCAATGTGAGGATTTGCTGATTTTCTCTGTTTCCTGGTTCATGGCTCCAGGTCGTTATGATGGACAGTTTCAGCCGCTGGCAGCAGCTCTGTGGATGGAAATATCAGTCTGTCCATCCGTGTCCCCCTCAGGAGGAATTTAACTTAACACTAAAGTAACTCAGCTCAGCTATTAGTTTGTGTTTAGTGCTAATTAGCTCATGTTAGCATGCTAACACACCAAACTAATAGTCTTAGACTCTGAGTGCTCTTTTACTAACTGAGTTCTATAAAATCAACTTACCACTGACTCTGAGTCGACATCTGTCAGAGCTCAAGCCATAATTTGTTCTCACTTCACACAGGTACAGGCCCGAGTCTTCAGTCCTGAGTCTGGACACATGAAGTCTGATTCGTCCTTCTCTGAGGACGTCTTTGTCACACTGGACTCGTCCTTTAAACTGTTCATCCTGAGACTCTGGGACCTCGACACCATCCCTTAGATCATAGAGGACTGAGATCTTGTGATCAGTAATCAGTTGACAGTAGATAGAAAGAGGAGTTTTGAGGGAACTCTGTCAGTGTTGTTGAGGTTTTAAAAGTTCAGTCCTCACATGTTACCAGAACAAACATCTACAAAGTCTGTCTGTAGTCAATTACAATACTCCCTTGTATTTATAGTCTAAGGTACAGTGTTGGATGGCTTGACCACTAAAAACTGCAGTAATGTATTTCTGTTCCAGGTTGGCGCCAATAGTTAACTCTCCACTTATAACAGGAAACCATGACCAATACATGAGGGAGGAGGGTGTCCTGACTGTGTTGCTGCTGGCTGAAGAGGACATGGGATGAGTTTCATCCAACCATCTTTGATGGTTAATCATAAAAAGAACCAGAAGTATTATTTAGCTTTATATGTTGTAAAGACATCAAAAGTAGGAGTCCCTCCTAATGGAGTTACCAGGCTATCCACATTAGTCAGATCAATGTCTTGGACAGAAATATTGGAATGGATGTATATTGTGAAATACAAATTCATTTGATCAGGTCTGATATCATTTCAGGCTTACCATTTAGTTTTAAACTGTTTATATAGTTTATAAGGACAAGAAACCAGATGTGGCATTATTAGTGCTAACGAGGATAAATCAAATTAAACGGATCAAAAAGTTTTCCCTACCGGTTTCTTTTTTTTTTTTTTCTTTTTTTTTTTTCCTAATAGTCGACCATGGCAACGTAAAACGAAACTGTAACATCTCAAGATAATACATAATAAACCAAT